CCTCTCGGGGTAAAACAGCTCTCTCATTCTCACAGTGAGGCTAAGCTCCTGAAAGATTCTCTGGGTTCACTTTCTTCATTGTGCAAATCAGAAATGGCTTTCACCCCACACCACATCATCAGAATGAAAGAGGGAACGCTTGGCACAGCAGTTGGTGTAGTGGGCAGGATGGGCTGCCTGTTTCTGCCCACTTCTAAGACCCTTGAACACCTACAGTCTCCTTTTCGGGGTTTCTCAGTGCGAAAGTTAGACATACTTACCGGATTGTAATGCATACATTTCTCCCCCCTTAATCATCACGTGCACAGATTTGAAATAATCATCCTTCTCTACTTGCATCCAATTATCAGTGTGCTCAAGCCACATAACTCCCACACTTCACCTACATTTAGTTTTCTCCATCCCTGACATCTACTGATTGTTTTCAGCCTGTAGACATTCACTATAATTTTTACGATTTATTTTTAAATGCATGTGTATCTTCGTGAAAAAAAAAGAATATGGTGCCATGTTGGTGTTTATATGTGTAATAGACACACAAATGGGATTTTATTGTAAATATTTTTTTTCAATGTCTCACTTTTTATGAAGCATTATCCTACTGAGATATGTTCATTTATCACTGCCAACACACAATATTCTCATAGCAAGCCTTCTTAATATTTTGCTATGTCTCTAGTTATATAGCTCAATTCATGTTATTGTTGCTACCTTAAAGGTTTTATGTGATTTGCCCAAGGTCAGAAAATCTTGACAATACATACAAACAATATAGCAGAATAAGATTTAGTCTCCTCATTCCTAGAACAAAGCTGTTTTTAATATGTTGTGGGAACAAATCGGTATATTTAAAAATATATGAAAAGTGGTCATTGTATATAATATTTCTAAGGGCTCACTAATATCAAAAGTGTAAATGCCACAGTGTTCTCAATAAATGAACTGACATAATATAACCAAATATCATCTGTGTATGTTTTAAAACACAAGTAATGTTTATGTACCCAAGCACCAAATTTACATAAAACACCATAAAATAATTTAAAACTGTTGTATTCTGTCAAGTAAAGATGAAGCAGATATGCTCTAAAAATTATTTAAATATGCACTGTATATTATACTGTGAAGAAATTCCTAATCAAATATTTCTTTTAAACCATAGAAAAGGTTTCATTGGTACCTCCAAGTAGAAGTTAGTGGCCTCTTGGAACCAGAAGGATCCAGAAGATTCAAAGGTGGAGTTCAGGGCTAGGGAATGAAGCTCCAATGTAGGGTCCTTGCCTAGCAGGTGTAAAGCTCTGGGTTTGATCCTCAGGGAGGCAAAATTTTCTCATCCTCAACAACATGTCAATGTCATTAAAACTAAACTCATATTGGATACATTAACAGAAGAAAAATTTGCTATGAAGCTGGCTTTTCTCTCATTTTCAAATTTAAAGAATATACATTATTCAACTTTTCTAACTAGTAACTTAAGTATTAACAGGACTTGCTTATCATCTACAATCATCATACAACAACCCACTTATAAAGGAATTGTTTTAGAGTTAAGGGACTGATCATAAGGGAGTTTCTTTTGCTTTTTAAGTTAACATCACAATGTGTTTCATTTCCTCAATTCTTTTCTCTCTCTTTTGTTATTACTTGAATTAGCTCTGTGTCCATTGTAGGAGATTGTAGACCTATGTGAGGGCAGAAAATACGTATTGCAAAGATTAGACCCTGAGGTAGTGCTGAGTACTCAATAAAATGGAATGGCTTGTGCCAAACAAAGATGAGATAATTTGTGTCCAGTGAGAACTGACTAATATTTTGAATGAAGAGCTGTAATTTAGCTGAAGATCCAGACAGCCTGTGGATCTTCTTTTTGGGAATCAGAAAACATGTGAGGACTTAAAGGGGGTGGTTAGTAGCAATGATTTACAGGTCTACCAGGTAAAGCTTTGATTTAGACTAGATGAAAAAATATATACTGTCTAACATTTCCAGAGAAAACATTGAATTTCAAGTCTATCCGTTCTTTGGTTCTGCCTAGGTCACTCAGATTTCATGTCCCAAGCATCCTCACAGACCCACCATATTAATACACCCTCCTCAAAGCACTGACAAAAAACAAAGTTGCTGAATGCTTGAATGGCTTTCTTTGAACAGAATAACGCAGCAGATTCATACACAAAAGCTACTGCCCTTGAATTCCTCTGGGCGTGATTTTAGGACCTCTATTATTTGGGTAATAACTCTAATTTGCTTAATAACTAGGATAAGAATAAAAGAAAAGAAAAACAACTCAGATAAAAACAACCACCTCTCTAAAACCTTTTAATATATTTGAAATCTAAAGACCAAAGACAACTTTTTCATTCCATTCTTTTCTATATTTTATTCCCTTTAAAAACTCTCAATAGGAAATGCAAACCATGTATATACAAAAAATGTATATAACTCTGGTATTTATGTAAAATTTGTTTCTGTTGGTTTAAAATTTAAACCTAAGGTATCAACAAAGGCTTAGGATTTTGTTCTAAACAGCACGCTATGCTGTTTCAGAGATATATGAAATAAATAAAACTCATGAATTAAAAAAAAAATTTCATGTTGCAAATTTATTATCAAGGCTTCAGAAATTTTAATTATCAGAGCTTTAGTTACCAGAGACATAATTATTCATTTAAAATCTCAAACTGACAAAATCAAATTTGGAAGAAATGTATATTGTTTATTGATAAATGCTTTTATTGCAAAAGGAAAAAATAGATCCTTTGTCTGCTTTGGCTCCAGTATTTAGGAGTTGGCATCTAATTAATTAGTTATCAGGGGTGGAATCACACAGTGAGCAATTCCCTTTCCTCCTGATTATGAATTGCATTTTGATGGTGAAATTGTTGGTTATGTCCTTTCTTAGTGACAGATTTTATGTGATTAATGTCTCGGGTGTCTATTTTTCTCTGACACCTTCACACAATAGATGCCACAAAATCAGCATCACCAATCAAAATGTAATTTTCATCCTCTGAGAAAAGATCGTCTTCTATCTTTTCTTGTTCTGATTGGTCTGTACTTTAGTATATTTGAAAATGAAGACCAAAATAAAAGACCACAAAGCTGCTACACTTACTGCTGTTAAGTTCCAACAAAAAGATGGCTACATAGTTCTGAGCTTAAATTTTTACACAGATGTCATTTGTAAGTAGTTTATTAGATGTACTTGTTTTAACAAACTTCCTTTTCAGTAAAGCCTTGCTTTCTCCCCTTAACCTAAGTACTTGGTCACTGAACTGTGATTCTGTACATTTTTGTTTGTTGATGCTCTCAGGCCAGCATACCTGACTTAACCAACATTTGCTGTAACATGAGAAAGACTCATTTCTTGTATAGTTAATCAAAGTATCACCTCACAGTATACTTAGCTGGTAAGTTTGCTAGAGTAGCTTTTTGTAAAGAAAAGAGATCTATTCACGGTACTTTGAAAACAAAGACTTCATAGAACTATTGGCATGTTTAGGAAGCAAGGCTGCTCTCGAGACTTTATCATGGGTCCTGTGTTCTTCTCTTGCTTCAGTTTCCTTTCTTTGTAAACACACCTTCTCTGCATCAGTGTTGTTCTCTGCCTTGCTCTCTTACCTTTTCTGTGCACATAAACTTTCACTGCCATTCCTGGACCATTCTCTACCCTAAATCTATCAAGTGGCTATATCACTCAGCTTTCCAAAACCAACTGAGCTTTGGATGAGGCTACAATGAGGATGTGTTCGTTAATAAGACTATGGATTTCACTGACTTTTGGCTGTAAATCATTCCTGTTCAATCAGATAGGTATAGAATCACAATAAGGAAAAATATTGTCTAAATTTTAGTGTTGTGTTGGTGGGAAGTGTCCCTTTAAAAGAAGAGACTTATATGAATGGTATCTTAGTCTGTTGGGAACTCTTACAACAGAATACCTGAGGATGAGTAATTTATCAAAGACATGAATGTATTTCCTAATCGTTCTGGAGCCTAAAAAGTTCATAATCAAAGTGTCAGTGTCTGGTGTGGACTTTCTTGTTGCATTATCTCATGGTGGGAGGTCAGAGAGAGGGAGAAAGAGTACTAGAAATTAAGCTTACAACTCACGCTCTTTTATAATCAATAAACATTAATCCAACCACATGAAAGGAGCTTTCCTGACTAAAGCACCTTCCATTAGGTTTTGCCTTCCAGTATTGTTCCTTTGGAGATTAAATTTCTAACCCATAACTTTCAGGGACACATTCAAGCTGTAACAGACAGCCACCCTAAACTATGTGTAGCATAATAGATTGGTTGTTTGGTTGCTACCAAGTAAATTTTCCTTCATTTTAAAAACAATTTCAGTGATATATTCTGAAGCCAACAAATTTGGCAATTGACAGAATTCAGATCATAGGTAAAACATAATCCTTTTGGATTGGGCAAAATTTAGTATTCGTGAAATTGAGAAAACTGTTAGAGGTACAGGTTAGTTGGAAGTGGTTGTGGTGGACTATTTGAAGCTCAGGAACACGTTAACTTTGTGATGCGGTTAAATAATCAAGAGTAAATATCCTACAGGAAGTGGAATATTTAGGTGTGTCAGTCAGGGGGGAAATTCCAGGTTGGAGTTACAAACTTGATCACCATCAACATATAGGTGATGACTGAAGCCAGGAAATCAGATGAGATCACCTAGCAACTGAGCACTGTTAGTAAAGAGAGTGAGTTCACTGAGTGGAGCACACCAACCTTTACAAGTAGAGAAATGAGGAGTGAAAAAAAATTGTGAGAAAGAAAATATGATGAAAGCTAGTTGACTGTGTTTTCTCAAGAGACACACTTTAGGAGAACATTCAACTGTATTCATATGCTGCTGATAGGTAAAATGAATTTGGACAATGAAAAATAATATCTTAGGATTTAACAAAGTGGAGGATGTATTATTTTGCTATGGAGGCTATATCAAAATATCATCATTATGTTGTCTTAAACAGTAGAAATCTACTTACAGTTCTGGAGGAAGAAGTCGAAGATCAAGGTGCTGAAAGGGTTGGTTTCTTCTATAACCCCTCTCCTTTTGGCTTGCAGATGATGCCTTCTTGTTGTGCCTTCACATGGCCTTTTGTCTGTGTGCTCACACCCTGGTCTCTCTGTCTCTTTCCTCATAAAAAGATGAGTCATATTGGATTAAGGCTCCACCCTATGAACTTATTTAACTCCATTTCCTTTTTATCAGTCCTGTCTCCAAATGTAGTCACACTGATGGGTCAGGGCTTCAACACGTGAATTTAGGAGGGACACAATTCAATCCATGACAGAGATCATTGCTAAACATGATAACAATAGTTTTTGTGTCATAAAGTTGCTGTCAGGAGGAAGCTGACTTGCATTTTTTCAAGAAAGGATAGAAAAGATGCTTGAAGATAATGGTTTCAAACAGCTACTGCCCTCAAGGGAAGGCATGTGGAGATGGACCTGGACAGAAATGAAGGAAAGGAAGGACTGTTTATTTTTTTATGAGGTGGGGAAGATGGAGTAAGATATTCAGTTGTCTGCAGGGTGATCCGCCTTCCTTGTTGGATAATTATCAGCTTTGATGTTGCCTTGACCTTAAAGGGAGAGGAACTGGAGGCTATAGAGCAACTGAGATGGGGTAGAAAACTGGCAAGACACTTGATACATCTTATAATTATTTTGAATATCTTAAATATTAGTTATGTATAGGAGAATTTCAGATATTATGCAATATTAAATTCTATTGACTCATTTATATGAACACAACATTGAATTTATTGATAAAATATATGTCTTTTTATTATACTTTTCGGGATGCTAAAGGATAGCATTTTTGAAATGCTTGCACAATTTGTGACTTATACTCACCTTTTAACAAATGTAAATAATTATTCTGTGTTTGCATGAATTACATTGATTTATGTTTGGTAAAGAATAAGTCAACACTTGATTAACTGCACATCCCTGGAGAATTCTGAACTATCTTTGCTGCGTGTTACCTTGTACTCAGAGGCAGAGAGAGGAAATGTCTCATCTTATGTTGGTTGCTGGATGCTCTTACTCTAATTGCTTGCATTAATTAAAGTGCTTTTGTAGCATGATATTTTAAGAGGAGTACTGAATTAAGGGTCAGAACATCTAGGTTTATGTCTTAATAGCCTTGTATCCCTGGCCACTTTACTGTATATCTAGTCCTCAAGTTTTACATCCAAGCAATAGAGATAATATAACATATTATTAGACATATTGTTTGAAATTATACCTACCTAGAAAGTTTAGGCCAACTTTCCCTGAGATGAAACCAGAATTGATATATATTGGATTTAATGTTTTACATCCATGTAACATTTTAGATTTATGTGTCCATTGTATGGTTTGGAATTTCCTGTAAATCAATGGTCATCTCAGGAATATAAACTAAAGCCCTTAAAGCAGAAGTCACCATTGGCAATAAAAGAAAAAGCAGAAAGCTTCATGTTTACTTTAGAAATACCATAAAGATCTAATGGGACCAGCAATTTTAGCTGCGGACTGCCAGTAAAGAAATACAGACACAGAAAAGCAAGTCTTGAAATTTATGGCTTGTCTATAAAGACAAAGGGAACCAGAGACTTCAGCTGGGTGGCAAATCTAGATGGTTTTGACATTGGTTTTCCTGTCTTATAAAACAGTAGCAGCAGATTTAGAAGAAATTGAGTGGAATCAATTTTATTCTTTAGACAAAGAGGTGATTGGAGTATGTTGTGTGTGTGTGTGTGTGTATAGACAAAAATATTCTATATTGAAGAGAACTCCTGTATTGCGATGTATCCTTTGAGTTTTTAGATATTGAATAAAGATAATCACAGAAAAGAAGCAGAATATAAACAGGTGCTTTTAGAAAATGAGTGTACTCGGGTTTTCTTATTACATCATTATTTTTAGCAAGTTGCAATGTATCAGGTTTCTTAATAATTTAAGTAGCTCAAATATATACTTTATTCTCATATACAGAATGAATACGAATACATTCATACAAATTATAGGCAAAGCTAATCAGCAACTTATCACTCTTCTTTTGGCCAGAAGCCACCTCTGCTGAGTTCTTTACCTTGTGAACGTGACCTAGCTCTATGAGTATTAATTAACATGGTCTTTCAACACTCATACATTTTTAAAAGGTAAGGGTATCATATTGTCACAGCTGAAAGCAGATTGTTCCTCTATTGTCAAAAGGGTTGGAAGCATTTTTAAATAGGGTTTGTTAGAGAAAAACTGTATTGAATTTTAAAATAGGGGTTGTTAGAGCAAAACTGCCTTAGAAATCTGAGATATTTGGAAAGTTTTTTAAAAACTGAGAAATCTAGAAATTTAGAGTTCATATGTGATTGACAAGGAAAGAAAATATCACATTTGAATGGAAGGATATTATTGTGTAAGTAGATCAATAATGCTTGTAAGTAAATTTATTGAACACAACAGAACATACTTTTGCCTGTCATGTGGAATTACAGTGGTGACTATAGTCAATACAATGAATATAGTGATGCCTATTGAAGCAATGACCGTCTTACTGGGCTACACGTATTTTAGAAACTTGCACAGATTTTCGTAGTAAGCAAGAGAGTCCAATCAATTCTGTAAACAATATGGTCTCATAGTTTAATCATCCTTTACACTTCCTTAAATAAAGCTACTAGGCATAGAACTTCTCCACTTCCCTTTGATGTAGGTAGTTTTTCTTCCAGTTATAAGAAAAATACATGGCTGTATGGTTCTGCCCAGAAATCCAGGCAGGTGTCTTTCAAGTATGAAGAATGAACAATAAGAAAATGAGACACTAGGGACTGTGTAACAAATTCTATTGCAATTCTAGTAGCTTCCTAATAATTACTTTAAAAAGAGTTGCATTGAGTGAAAGATTGATGAATCACAAAAAATAGTTGTAGCTGTTAGATCACACTATGCAATCTCAAAAAGTGGGTCTATGAATTGAATCTCTCCAAAGTTTGCTATTACCAACTGATTTAAGGTAATAAATATTCTTACTCCTACATTTAAGAAGAAAGACAATAATAATTAATAATAAAGGCAATAAAGAAAGTCACAAATGTAATCCCATCACTTGGAAAGCTGAGATAGGAGGATCATAGTCACTCCAAGGCCAGCCTGAACTACATACCAAGACCCTGTCAAAAAATCCAAAAACAACAGCAACTAAAAAAGGTAAATGGGGTAAAAAATTAAGTGCTGAGTCCTGAGTTATTCTATTAGAAATTGGCATTCATAGCACACTAACTTAGAGAAATAGATCAAAACAGCCCATTCCATCTTATTAAGGATATTTGTACAATAATTTCCTTTGATAGTATGTGTCTGATAATGTTAATCAAGAATTTGTAAAATAATTATATCATTTGGTCAATTATACATGATTATATTTATATTGATACCTCATTTTAGAAGAAAAAATGTCACATTAAGAGATTCATAGTTACAGAAAATCTAAAAAGAAATTTTAATTTATCTACATATATTTTGCTGCAGGGTTGTAGGGCTGAGCAATGAATAAAAAGAATGGGTGCAAAGGAGGAAAGGGAAAATATACCAGGTAGACAACAGCAGGATATTCTAAATTCTAAATGTAATCAAGTGTAACTAGGATTGAGAATCGGAGTTGCTAAAATAAAAACAAATATAGGAGTAGAAATGGGAGAGATTTTCCCCACCACCAATTTTAAAGCTAAAATATATTCATTTGCTACTACTGCCAAGAATTATGAATGACTGGCTTGAAGGATATGTTTTCCCATTTTTCATTTAGAATGGGGATTTGGCAACCATTTTTTTGTAGAGCAGGAGGAGTTGGTAAACTATGGTCTTTATCAGAACTGTTCCATTCTGCTGGTACTGTATGAAAGTAGCCATGGGCAATATGTAAATGCCTGGTGTTACAGTGTTCCAATAGATTTTAGTGATGGACACTGGATTTTGAATTTCATAATATTTTAAATATGCTTGTTGTTTTTGCAGCCACTTAAAAATATGAAAATCATGCTAAGTTCTCAAGTAGTATAAAAATGGCAAAATTTAGCCAATGACCATAGTTTGCTCACCCCTAACTTAGAGTGTTTCAAGGATTAAGTCATTTTCTAGATTATAGCCTGATTTCAGACCAACATGGAGTCTTATGAATCCAGCTATTTACTTCTCTCTTAACATTGAGATCTCATGAAAATCAGGACTCCTTGGAACGGAGTTTTGTTATGTATTTTGAAAGCATTGAGGCTTATTTATTTATTGGTGTCTCTGTGCAGGGAACTTTAGCATTTTCAAATCTGTCTTCATTTTATCAAAAATCTGTCCAGAGTATCATTGTCCTTAACTATTTCCTGTTTGTACTGAAGAGCTTGTTATCTTATATTGCCAACATCTAAAATTTTATCTGCTAACTTAAAAGGCATATGGACATAATAATACAGTAAAACCATGAGCTTCAGTGATGATAATCTGCATTTGATTCTTACTTATACTATGTAGACCTGGAACAAACTAAATTTTATCATTCACTGGGCCTTTGTTTCCAAATGGGCAATAACAGGTGTGATAATTATAGGTGTCTTAGTTACTTTTTCTTGTTGTTGAAACAAAATACTCAACACCCAAAGTTAAGGAAGGAAAGGTTTGTTTAGCTCACATTTTGTAGAGATTTCAGTCCATAATCCACTGGCTCTAAGGCAGAGTGGCATGGCAGACAGGCATTGCAGAAGAGGAAACAGTTCATGGCAGGTAGAATGTAGCAACGCAAGCAGGGGACCTCTGCCCCTTTTATATGTATCTAGGCTACTGGTATTAGTGTGATGCTAAACCAATCAGTGGACTGATTTAGTAATCATACTCCCTTAATTCCAGCATCACAAACTCTAGATTCAGGCACCTCTAAAAAGGCCCCACCTATGACTCCATGAGGCTTTGGGAAGATATCTAGATGTAAACTGTAACATTCCGTCCCTGACTTATGTACATTTCTTTATACAAAAGGCATTTAGTCCATCTCTAAGAGTTGCCTCAGTCCTAACAGTTTCATCATTGCTGAAAAGTCCAAGTCCCAAGTGTTC